TGGCCAGAAAAAAGCCATTGCTTAAAGAAAGAAATAAGCAAACACGTTTGGTGTTCGCCAAAAGCCATGTGGGAGACTACCCAAACATATGGAAGAAGGTACTCTGGTCAGATGAGACTAAAATTGAGCTTTTTTTCCATCAAGGAAAATGCTATGTCTGGCGCAAACTCAACAACTCTCATCACTCCGAGAACACCATCCCCACAGTGAAGCATGGTGGTGGCAGCATCATGCTGTGGGGATGTTTTTCATCGGCAGGGACTGGGAAACTGGTCAGAATTGAAGGAATGATGGATGGCGCTAAATACAGGGAAATTCTTGAGGGAAACCTGTTTCAGTCTTCCAGAGATTTGAGACTGGGACGGAGGTTCACCTTCCAGCAGGACAATGACCCTAAACATACTGCTAAAGCAACACTCGAGTGGTTTATGGGGAAACATTTAAATGTCTTGGAATGGCCTAGTCAAAGCCCAGACCTCAATCCAATTGAGAATCTGTGGTATGACTTGAAGATTGCTGTACACCAGCGGAACCCACCCAACTTGAAGGAGCTGGAGCAGTTTTACCTTGAAGAATGGACAAATATCCCAGTGGCTAGAAGTGCCAAGCTTGTAGAGACATACCCCAAGAGACTTACAGCTATAATTGCTGCAAAAGGTGGCTCTACAAAGTATTGGGGGGGGGGGGGGGGGATAGTTATGCGTGCTCAAGTTTTCTGTTTTTATGTCTTATTTCTTGTTTGTTTCACGATAAAAAATATTTTGCATCTTCAAAGTGGTAGGCATGTTGTGTAAATCAAATGATACAAACCCCCCAAAAATCTATTTGAATTCAAGGTTGTAAGGCAACAAAATAGGAAAAAATGCCAAGGGGGGTGAATACTTTCGCAAGCCCAGAGTCCTATGGGTCATGGTCAAAAGTAGTTCACTATAAAGGGAATAATAGGTTTCCATTGGGGACGCATTTTATGATGATGTTTTTCATATCAGATGCTTCCTATTGAAAACACTGAGTTTTGATGATATCGAGGCTGAAATCAAACAGGAACTAACAGCTGTGACTGGAATGCAACATAGGCTGTATAATATTTCTTTTTACACACAAACTCAATTACATAAATACTTAACTCAAGTAATGGGTCTGCTTGTAAGAGATTCCTGAAATAACTTCAGCAACATTGGGATAAATTGTCATTTTCAGAAAATATGGCAAGTCTTCATATCTATTGCCATCAAGACAGAGTTAGGGTTCAACGCACTGTCAACACTTGTGTCCCTGAAGTGATTCAATAATTATACAGTTGCATTGGCTTCCAGTTAAAGAGCTTCTCGTCAAAAGTGGAGCACAGAGATTGTACAGAGTTGTGCAGTGCTTGAAGTGTGACCCAGTCTTAAAGTATCTTTAAAGATGAGTGGGGAAGTGGTGGTAGGCGGAAGGAGGTGCTACTGGCTTCCCTCCACGCTCCGTCTGAGGCTCCACAGAAAGGGGTTTATCCCGGGACATCGCTACCAGAGCAACCGGCACATCAGAAAAGTAGTGCACTAAATAGGGAATAGGATTCCATTTGGGACACATCCCAGGAGTAACGTTACAGAGCACCGTTGCTCATGTCGGTGATCCCATACAAAAGATTAGTACTGTGGCTTCCATAGTTCCGTTGGCTCTACGGCCACCCCCGTGAGGTCATAGCTGAGGAATCTGTTTCATTCTAATCGCATCTTGTTAATCAAGCCTGGTAAAATCTGCTGGGTTCTTGACTGTGTTATCTGGCAGCAGGCTTCTGGTTTCTCCTCTCTTTCCCTATATTTTGTTCCAAACCCAAACCTTTTTAATCAATCGTCCCCTTCGAACATCTGTAGGTCTGCATTATAACCAACTGCAAGGCTTCTTTCCAAATGGCATCCTATTCCCTACAGTGCCTTGCAAAAGTATTCATCCCCCTTGGCGTTTTTCCTATTTTGTTGCATTACAACCTGTAATTTAAACAGATTTTTATTTGGATTTCAAGTAATGGACATACACAAAATAGTCCAAATTGGTGAAGTGAAATGAAACAAATTACTTGTTTCAAAAAATTCGAAAAAATAAATAACGGAAAAGTGGTGTGTGCATATGTATTCACCCCCATTGCTATGAAGCCCCTAAATAATATCTGGTGCAACCAATTACCTTCAGAAGTCACATAATTAGTTAAATAAAGTCCACCTGTGTGCAATCTAAGTGTCACATGATCTGTCACATGATCTCAGTAGCTATACAATTGTTCTGAAAGGCCCCGGAGTCTGCAACACCACTAAGCAAGGGGCACCACCAAGCAAGCGGCACCATGAAGAACAAGGAGCTCTCCAAGCAGGTCAGGGACAAAGTTGTGGAGAAGTACAGATCAGGGTTGGGTTATAAAAAAATATCAGAAACTTTGAACAACCCACGGAGCACCATTAAATCCTTTATAAAAAATGGAAAGAATATGGCACCACAAACAAACCTGCCAAGAAAGTGCCGCCCACCAAAACTCACGGACCAGGCAAGGAGGGCATTAATCAGAGAGGCAACAAAGAGATCAAAGATAACCCTGAAGGAGCTGCAAAGCTCCACAACGGAGATTGGAGTATCTGTCCATAGGACCACTTCATGCCGTACACTCCACAGAGCTGGGCTTTACGGAAGAGTGGCCAGAAAAAAGCCATTGCTTAAAGAAAGAAATAAGCAAACACGTTTGGTGTTCGCCAAAAGCCATGTGGGAGACTACACAAACATATGGAAGAAGGTACTCTGGTCAGATGAGACTAAAATTGAGCTTTTTTTCCATCAAGGAAAATGCTATGTCTGGCGCAAACTCAACAACTCTCATCACTCCGAGAACACCATCCCCACAGTGAAGCATGGTGGTGGCAGCATCATGCTGTGGGGATGTTTTTCATCGGCAGGGACTGGGAAACTGGTCAGAATTGAAGGAATGATGGATGGCGCTAAATACAGGGAAATTCTTGAGGGAAACCTGTTTCAGTCTTCCAGAGATTTGAGACTGGGACGGAGGTTCACCTTCCAGCAGGACAATGACCCTAAACATACTGCTAAAGCAACACTCGAGTGGTTTATGGGGAAACATTTAAATGTCTTGGAATGGCCTAGTCAAAGCCCAGACCTCAATCCAATTGAGAATCTGTGGTATGACTTGAAGATTGCTGTACACCAGCGGAACCCACCCAACTTGAAGGAGCTGGAGCAGTTTTACCTTGAAGAATGGACAAATATCCCAGTGGCTAGAAGTGCCAAGCTTGTAGAGACATACCCCAAGAGACTTACAGCTATAATTGCTGCAAAAGGTGGCTCTACAAAGTATTGGGGGGGGGGGGGGAATAGTTATGCGTGCTCAAGTTTTCTGTTTTTATGTCTTATTTCTTGTTTGTTTCACGATAAAAAATATTTTGCATCTTCAAAGTGGTAGGCATGTTGTGTAAATCAAATGATACAAACCCCCCAAAAATCTATTTGAATTCAAGGTTGTAAGGCAACAAAATAGGAAAAAATGCCAAGGGGGGTGAATACTTTCGCAAGCCCAGAGTCCTATGGGTCATGGTCAAAAGTAGTTCACTATAAAGGGAATAATAGGTTTCCATTGGGGACGCATTTTATGATGATGTTTTTCATATCAGATGCTTCCTATTGAAAACACTGAGTTTTGATGATATCGAGGCTGAAATCAAACAGGAACTAACAGCTGTGACTGGAATGCAACATAGGCTGTATAATATTTCTTTTTACACACAAACTCAATTACATAAATACTTAACTCAAGTAATGGGTCTGCTTGTAAGAGATTCCTGAAATAACTTCAGCAACATTGGGATAAATTGTCATTTTCAGAAAATATGGCAAGTCTTCATATCTATTGCCATCAAGACAGAGTTAGGGTTCAACGCACTGTCAACACTTGTGTCCCTGAAGTGATTCAATAATTATACAGTTGCATTGGCTTCCAGTTAAAGAGCTTCTCGTCAAAAGTGGAGCACAGAGATTGTACAGAGTTGTGCAGTGCTTGAAGTGTGACCCAGTCTTAAAGTATCTTTAAAGATGAGTGGGGAAGTGGTGGTAGGCGGAAGGAGGTGCTACTGGCTTCCCTCCACGCTCCGTCTGAGGCTCCACAGAAAGGGGTTTATCCCGGGACATCGCTACCAGAGCAACCGGCACATCAGAAAAGTAGTGCACTAAATAGGGAATAGGATTCCATTTGGGACACATCCCAGGAGTAACGTTACAGAGCACCGTTGCTCATGTCGGTGATCCCATACAAAGATTAGTACTGTGGCTTCCATAGTTCCGTTGGCTCCCCGGCCACCCCCGTGAGGTCATAGCTGAGGAATCTGTTTCATTCTAATCTCAGCTTGTTAATCAAGCCTGGTAAAATCTGCTGGGTTCTTGACTGTGTTATCTGGCAGCAGGCTTCTGGTTTCTCCTCTCTTTCCCTATCTTTCGTTCCAAACACAAACCTTTTTAATCACATCCCCAGAGAGGTCAATCGTCCCCTTCCAACATCTGTAGGTCTGCATTTTAACCAAATTCAAGGCTTTGTTCCAAATGGCATCCTATTCCCTATATAGTGCACTACTTTTGACTAGAGAAATATGTCCCCTGGTCAAAAGTAATGCACTACACTTAGTAAAAAGGATTCCAAAGGGTTCTTCGGCTGTCCCCATAGGAGAACCCTTTTTGGTTCCAGGTAAAACCCTTTTTGGTTCCAGGTAGAACAATTTTAGGTTCCATGTAGAACCTTCAGTGGAAAAGGGTTCTACATGGACCCCAAAACAGTTCTACTTGGAATCAAAAGGGTTCTCCTATGGGGACGACGAACAACCCTTTTAGGTTCTAGATAGCACCTTTTTTTCTAAGAGTGTATACTGTATAGGGAATAGGGTGCCATTTGGGACACATGAGAAGACTGTTTAATCTTTCACTCCTTCCCTTTTCTCTATGCAATTAGTCTCTAAATACAAAGGGCACTAGAGGAACACAGAGGTCTCATACTTCCAGAACTTACCAAGGTTGGAGCGTGTGTTGGAGCGCTCGATGATGGCGTGTTTACTAGGGTTGTTGAGGACGGAGCGTTTGGCAAGAGAGATGTCTGCCGTGACACGAGTGATTGATATTCTGATAGGAAGGCAGAGAGAAAATAACTGGTCACAGAGAGAATAGAGCGTGCTCTGATTTCTGAATGAAATAGCCTTGATTCATGATCACTATCAATAAAAAATTTAACACTTGGAAAATGCACTGTATTCAAAAGAAAAAGGGGATAGCAACAAAATCACCATATGAAGAGGGGAGAGTTGTGATTTCTAAGGAATATTTAGTAGAAGAGGACAGAGATGGTGTGAGTATGCTTATACTCGAATACCATACAGTGAGGGCAAAAGGTATTTGATCCCCTGCTGATTTTGTACGTTTGCCCACTGACAAAGAAATGATCAGTCTATAATTTTTATGGTAGGTTTATTTGAACAGTGAGAGACAGAATAACAACAAAAAAATCCAGAAAAACGCATGTCAAAAATGTTATAAATTGATTTGCATTTTAATGAGGGAAATAAGTATTTGACCCCTCTGCAAAACATGACTTAGTACTTTGTGGCAAAAACCTTGTTGGCAATCACAGAATCACAGAGGTCAGACATTTCTTGTAGTTGGCCACCAGGTTTGCACACATCTCAGGAGGGATTTTGTCCCACTCCTCTTTGCAGATCTTCTCCAAGTCATTAAGGTTTTGAGCCTGACATTTGGCAACTCGAACCTTCAGCTCCCTCCACAGATTTTCTATGGGATTAAGGTCTGGAGACTGGCTAGGCCACTCCAGGACCTTAATGTGCTTCTTCTTGAGCCACTCCTATGTTGCCTTGGCCGTGTGTTTTGTGTCATTGTCATGCTGGAATACCCATCCACGACCCATTTTCAATGCCCTGGCTGAGGGAAGGAGGTTCTCACCCAAGATTTGACGGTAGGGGCCCCGTCCATCGTCCCTTTGATGCGGTGAAGTTGTCCTGTCCCCTTAGCAGAAAAACACCCCCAAAGCATAATGTTTCCACCTCCATGTTTGACGGTGGGGAGGTGTTCTTGGGGTCATAGGCAGCATTCCTCCTCCTCCAAACACGGCGAGTTGAGTTGATGCCAAAGAGCTCGATTTTGGTCTCATCTGACCACAACACGTTCACCCAGTTCTCCTCTGAATCATTCAGATGTTCATTGGCAAACTTCAGACGGGCATGTATATATGTGCTTTCTTGAGCAGGGGGACCTTGCGGGCGCTGCAGGATTTCAGTCCTTCACGGCGTAGTGTGTTACCAATTGTTTTCTTGGTGACTATGGTCCCAGCTGCCTTGAGATCATTGACAAGATCCTCCCGTGTAGTTCTGGGCTGATTCCTCACCGTTCTCATGATCATTGCAACTCCACGAGGTGAGATCTTGCATGGAGCCCCAGGCCGAGGGAGATTGACAGGTCTTTTGTGTTTCTTCCATTTGCGAATAATCACACCAACTGTTGTCACCTTCTCACCAAGCTGCTTGGCGATGGTCTTGTAGCCCATTCCAGCCTTGTGTAGGTCTACAATCTTGTCCCTGACATCCTTGGAGAGCTCTTTGGTCTTGGCCATGGTGGAAAATTTGGAATCTGATTGATTGATTGCTTCTGTGGACAGCTGTCTTTTATATAGGTAACAAACTGAGATTAGGAGCACTCCCTTTAAGAGTGTGCTCCTAATCTCAGCTCGTTACCCGTATAAAAGACACCTGGGAGCCAGAAATCATTCTGATTGAGAGGGGGTCAAATACTTATTTCCCTCATTAAAATGCAAATCAATTTATAACATTTTTGACATGCGTTTTTCTGGATTTTTTTGTTGTAATTCTGTCTCTCACTGTTCAAATAAACCTACCATTAAAATTATAGACTGATCATTTCTTTGTCAGTGGGCAAACGTACAAAATCAGCAGGGGATCAAATACTTTTTTCCCTCACTGTATGTAAAACATCTTGTTAATGATCAAAAGGTTTGCACTTTGAGAATAATATAAAACGGTTTACAGTATGAGTACAGTATGAGTTTTGTAACATAATTTCTTTACTGTGGATGGGAGACTGGCCAGGCAGCCCAGGCAGGGACTGGTGCATGGAGAGGAGAGGAGCTGAGGAGAACCCTGCGCTGCACTAGGGCCCACTATGGCCTATTAAGGACATGGAGAGGGCCTATTTAAAGCAACAGCTAGCACACATCTCCAGGCCAAACAAACTTGTTATACACTCCCTCGGCAAAACCTCCCGGGATGACTAAATACCAGCCTATAGGACTCAGGCAGAGCAGACTGAACAGGGATACAGAGAGAGAGAAAGAGAGAGGGAAGGAAGGAAGAAAAGCACGTACCTCCCTTCAAATCGGTGTTTCAAAAAGTCAAACAGTGCTTTTTGCATCATATCTGTCACCTGCAAGCAAATGGGGTAATAAAAACATAGTGAACATTTAAGGAACTACCATCATTTTGAAAACAGGCTCTCTGTGTGTGTGTGTGTGTGTGTGTGTGTGTGTGTGTGTGTGTTTGCATGGGTGGGTGGGTGGGTGGGTGTATTGAAGCAAGCTCTCTGTTGGTGAGAGAGGGATCCCCACAGCTCAGACTGTTGTTTCAGAATTGACTGATAGCACTTCATCCTTTCTCTTGTAAACAACTGTGATCCTCCTCAGCTTAGTGTGTCCTGTTCTCACCAGGTTCCAGAGGACCCTCCCCTTTCTGCCTCCCATTAACCACAGAGACAAAGCTCAGCTCTGTCGGTGTATCCATGTGTCCACAATGAGAACAAGTAGTAGAATTAGTGTAAACAGAACGTATCAGTGAGTGTAGTAGTGGTGCTAGTACCAGTAGTAGGTTTGCAAAATTCTGGTAATTTTCCCCAAATGTCCAGGTTTTCCAGAAATCCCATTTGGAAGATTCCCTGAATCAGGAGAGAATAAGCAGGAAATCCAGAATCCTCCAACCAGGATTTCTGGGAAACCTGGGAATTTGGGGAAAGTAACCGGATTTGGCAACCTTAACAAGTAGTGATCTAAATAGAATATACTAATAGTGAGTGTAGTAGTGGTTGTGTCAGTTATAACCCCTTACAACAACTTTATAACAACTTATAACAATCCCTTAAAATAAAAATGCTGTTACCTCATAGCCCTTCAGTGACGGTCCAACCAGGACCACAGGTCGCATGGAAGGCACAACGTCGTATGGAGGAATGTGTTCCGTCTGCCCAACGAGAGAAAACCACCCATCAGCTTCACATCCAGGGAGATTATTATACACAGGTTACATCCCAAATGGCACCCTATCCCCTACATAGTGCACTACTTTTGACCAGGGCCCACACACTCAACATTACACACTACATCCAAGGGGGAAAAGCAAAACACACTAGACCATTTAATAGAACTGAAAGGAACTTGGAAAACTATGAAATGAGTTATTCTAACTGTGAGCCCCAGTTTGCACTCAACACACATGAAGGATGCCAGTTAAAGGGGCAATCTGGGATTGGTACATCCCTTTATCCATCATAGTTTTCTGATCCATAGAAATAGGAGTGTTTTGTTTTCATTTTGAGTAAATATAAAACAGTAAGACATTATACTGAATTATACTCTAGACAGAGCAAATACTAAGATAATCTCTGAACTGAATTCACTGACCTCGTAATGAATGACAAGCAGCTTAACATAAGAACAACAATCCAAATCTGTGTGGAGGTCAAGGTATACTGAGCAGAATCTCTCATTTCATAATTGTTATCTACTCAAAAGGGAATGTCAGTAGAGGAACTGGTTAGTCAGAACAGGGATGGTAAGAACTCAAACGGTAGAACTGAAACAAACAAGCAGAGTAACAGAGAAACCCAGTCACACAGCGACAGAGTGGGAGCTCAGTGTATCTCAGTGACAGCTTCAGAGGGATGTGTCTGTTTGTGTGACAGTGAGGCAGTAGACCTCTAATGCCACATCTGTGTGTGCTGTCACAGTTCCAGCGGTGTGACAGAGCAGTACGTCTGAGGAACGCACCGGCAGACAGACAGACTGACACGCCATCGCTTCGCAGGGAAATGAAAGCGCTTTCTCCTCCACAGGAGCGACAGCGTGTGATCTAAGCACTACTGGAGACAGCTATGACAAATGGATGAAGAGAGAGAGAGCGCGAGAGAGAAGGTGATAGCACTGAGTCTGTCATACTTCTACTACCGTCTTTCACAACTCAATATTACTGCTAACTACAGTATCTCTCTCTTGCTGGTTTTCTTTGATCCATCTCACCCTGTTTTTGTATCTTAGCCTCTCTTTGCAATGTCTTCCTGTCTTTTCCTTCTCTCTCTCTCTCTCTCTCTCTCTCTCTCTCTCCGCTCTCTCTTCTCTCTCTCCCTCTCTCTCTCTCTCTCTCTCTCTCTCTCTCTCTGTCTCTCTGTCTCTCTCTCTCCCTCCATCTCTCACTCTCTCTTTCTATGTATTCATCTCTTTTTCCCTTTCTCTTACGTTCTGTCTCGTTCTCTTTCTCTCTATCTCTCTCCTTTCCTGTATCTGTCTCTCTCTGTCCGTCTCCCTCTCTTTAATTTGTCTTCAACTGCTAACATCTGCTGCCGTCACTGGCTGTCCCTGGGGAACTCTTGTTACATCAGAGAGGGGTAAATGCTGCTAGATGCACGCCAGAGCATCCAAGTCTGGAGCACTACCGGTTAGGTCACTGTGACTGCTGAAATATTTTAGGCCATATTTTCCTGGCCTAGGCTACAGGGTTATTGTTACTAAAATATGCATGCTGCTGGACGATGGAAAATGGTGGCTATTGTTTCCATCGTTGTTGTAGTTGTATGGTCTTAGAAAGGAGATGAGACTGTACCTCTTTATCTGATTATTGTAAAAAGAAAACAAAAAACTAAATAAATATAATGTTGAAAAAAAGACAGGACATACAGAATGTGAATGGAGAGGAGTTGCATTTGCTAAGCTTTGCATCAAGTCAAGACATGGCATGCACACAATGACTGATAACTATTGTTGTGTGTGCAATATGTGTGTGTGTGGGTCATGTGTATGAGGTTGGCCTACATACACACATACACACACACACACACACACACATCCCATCGTGTGCCAAGAAAGCCCTTATGGGATTTCCATAACTCCTCTGAAATTGTGTATTAATATGGCAGTGCTTGACAAAATAATGGATTTACGTAAGTTGTTTCATAATAAAACTAACATGAGAATAGTTGTTGTATTTGTTCTAATGGAGGTCACACTTGATTCATGTTGCATGTGATAAAGAAACACAACCAAACCAACAAGGATGCTAATAGCTGTTACTGTAGATTAGGGCTGTGGCGGGCATGAAATTTTGTCAGCCGGTTATTGTCATGCAAAAGACTGCGGTCTCAGGTTAATTGACCATTAATTAACACGTTTAGCATCTCCAGGCCTCCACTCAAACAAGCCGCTGATGTGTGCCTTTGGAACATATACATTTAAAAAATATAATAAATCAATTTAATATACACCATCACAATATATCCATTATTTATTTTAGTCAGGTCTAAAGAAACATTATGATATGAAGAAAATGTATTTCAGAAGAACAGAATATGAGTTGGCCTACTGTAGGCCTATGTTATCTAGCTATGCTCCATGTCATAGGCTGTAGGGTTGTTCATTTAGCTGACAAGATATGCTTATAAATCCTGTGCCATTATTTTATTTTATATGATTTTATATTAAGAAGAATATAATTGAATATAGCTGAATGAAATAGAAAGGATATTTTTCCCATTACGGAGCGACTGCGCATATGAAGTGGCTATGTTGAGCGCAAAAGTGATCATTTGAAACATGTCCTATATGCTAGATTTAGAGTTATTTGGAAACTTTAGTTGTGAATGATACAAACCTTAGAATGTCTTAGAAATCAAAACATATATGGGCGGCATGGTGCGACTATAGGCTATTGATGATTTGAGAAAGTCGCAAAAAAAGCCTGCGCTATGTTCCTTGCCTCAGGCTGCACAGCTCTCTCATCAAGTGATCATATTTTCACCCATCAGACTATTCTCAATTTAATCTCATCTTTACTAATAGGTCAAATTAGTTTAGATTTAGAATGGCCCATTATCAAATGGGCAGGAACAAGACATGCCATCTGTATGCACTCGAATAGCGAATGGAGGCCACGCACTTTCCCACTGGTCCATTTTGTAGGCTACTTCGGTTTTTATAGCGGAGCATGTGCTTAATATGAGCAGCTGAGAAAAAAATAGTAGAACACTTATTTCACTCCACGCATCAACCACTGTTTGAGGAGCATGCTCTCGCTGCCCCAACAGGTGCACAATCAAAGAACCAACAGCATCATCAAGGGCTATATGTTCTCCCCCAGACTCATGGATATACACTACCGTTCAAAAGTTTGGGGTCACTTAGAAATGTCCTTGTTTTCGAAAGAAAAGCAATTTTTTTGTCCATTCAAATAACATCAAATTGATCAGAAATACAGTGTAGACATTGTTAATGTTGTAAATGGCTATTGTAGCTGGAAATGGCTGATTTTTAATGGAATATCTCCGCAAAACACCAGTCTCAACGTCAACAGTGAAGAGGCGACTCCGGGATGCTGACCTTCTAGGCAGAGTTACAAAGAAAAAGCCATATCTCAGACTGGCCAATAAAAAGAAAAGATTAAGATGGGCAGTCTGAGATATGGCTTTTTCTTTGCAACTCTGCCTAGAAGGTCAGCATCCCGGAGTCGCCTCTTCACTGTTGACGTTGAGACTGGTGTTTTGCGGGTACTATTTAATGAAGCAGCCAGTTGAGGACCTGTGAGGCGTCTGTTTCTCAAACTAGACACTCTAATGTATTTGTCCTCTTGCTCAGTTGTGCACCGGGGCCTCCCACTCCTCTTTCTATTCTGGTTAGAGCCAATTTGCGCTGTTCTGTGAAGGGAGTAGTACACAGCGTTGTACGAGATCTTCCGTTTCTTGGCAATTTCTCGCATGGAATAGCCTTCATTTCTCAGAACAAGAACAGACTGATGAGTTTCAGAAGAAAGTTCTTTGTTTCTGTAATCGAACCCACAATTGCTGTTTTCGCTCCACGCATTAACCATTTTGAACCTGTAATCGAACCCACAATTGCTGATGCTCCAGATCCTCAACTAGTCTCAAGAAGGCCAGTTTTATTGCTTCTTTAATCAGCACAACAGTTTTCAGCTGTGCTAACATAATTGCAAAAGGGTTTTCTAATGATCAATTAGCCTTTTAAAATGATAAACTTGGATTAGCAAACACAACGTGCCATTGGAACACAGGACTGATGGTTGCTGATAATGGGCCTCTGTACGCCTATGTAGATATTCCATTACAAATCAGCCGTTTCCAGCTACAATAGCCATTTACAACATTAACAATGTCTACACTGTATTTCTGATCAATTTGATGTTATTTGAATGGACAAAAAAATCGCTTTTCTTTCGAAAACAAGGACATTTCTAAGTGACCCCACACTTTTGAACGGTAGTGTACATTTTGGAGTGTAGCATAAGGTAACCAGTCCATCCAGTATGCATAATAATACAGTCCACACTCAAAGGAGATTACTCGAATTTGTTTAATTTTGGAGTATAGGCTAGACCAATTATGTACCAAAGCCATCTTAAATGAGTTTAGTTTGATGTTTTTCTGCCATACGTATAATACGGCAGGCTATGTATTCTATAACGGCACAATCATAATTCAGTTTTTTTTCCCGGCCTCATAAGCCTATGCATAAGCTCTAATATGTGTATGGATGTTTTGAATTTATCATCACCTTAGAAAGCGCTTCCATTTCATTGTTAGGCTTTGAAACAACATCCACAACAACCATGTTTTACACTGTTTCAACCTGCTGTTGAACTTCAAATTGATCATCACAGTGAGGTGAGTTTTAAAAGTACTATATGCCTACTGTTTTGATGATAAGTGTTTGATGTGATTTTAGATTGCATTTGCATTGATGTCAAAGTGGTTAGAGGGACAATATACAGTGGGGGAAAAAGTATTTAGTCAGCCACCAATTGTGCAAGTTCTCCCACTTAAAAAGATGAGAGAGGCCTGTAATTTTCATCATAGGTACACATCAACTATGACAGACAAAATGAGAAAAAATATTCCAAAAAATCACATTGTAGGATTTTTAATGAATTTATTTGCAAATTATGGTGGAAAATAAGTATTTGGTCAATAACAAAAGTTTCTCAATACTTTGTTATATACCCTTTGTTGGCAATGACACAGGTCAAACGTTTTCTGTAAGTCTTCACAAGGTTTTCACACACTGTTGCTGGTATTTTGGCCCATTCCTCCATGCAGATCTCCTCTAGAGCAGTGATGTTTTGGGGCTGTCGCTGGGCAACACGGACTTTCAACTCCCTCCAAAGATTTTCTATGGGGTTGAGATCTGGAGACTGGCTAGGCCACTCCAGGACCTTGAAATGCATCTTACGAAGCCACTCCTTCGTTGCCCGGGCGGTGTGTTTGGGATCATTGTCATGCTGAAAGACCCAGCCACATTTCATCTTCAATGCCCTTGCTGATGGAAGGAGGTTTTCACTCAAAATCTCACGATACATGGCCCCATTCATTCTTTCCTTTACACAGATCAGTCGTCCTGGTCCCTTTGCAGAAAAACTTGTATGTCTTCCATTTCCTAATAATTATTCCCACAGTTGATTTCTTCAAACCAAGCTGCTTACCTATTGCAGATTCAGTCTTCCCAGCCTGGTGCAGGTCTACAATTTGTTTCTGGTGTCCTTTGACAGCTCTTTGGTCTTGGCCATAGTGGAGTTTGGAGTGTGACTGTTTGAGGTTGTGGGCAGGTGTCTTTTATACTGATAACAAGTTCAAACAGGTGCCATTAATACAGGTAACGAGTGGAGGACAGAGGAGCCTCTTAAAGAAGAAGTTACAGGTCTGTGAGAGCCAGAAATCTTGCTTGTTTGTAGGTGACCAAATACTTATTTTCCACCATAATTTTCAAATAAATTCATAAAAAATCCTTCAATGTGATTTTCTGGATTTTTTTTCTCAATTTGTCTGTCATAGTTGACGTGTACCTATGATGAAAATTACAGGCCTCTCTCATATTTTTAAGTGGGAGAACTTGCACAATTGGTGGCTGACTAAATACTTTTTTCCCCCACTGTAGCCCTGAGTAACAGGCCATTAGGACCTGATGATCTAGCAAGTTGGGTACTACCAAAGCATGTCCAGAGTGCATAAAAGGATATTACCGTGACATGTGGAATTTTACTGTGGTCATGGCACATGACTGCCAGTGTGGCGGTAATACGGTCACCACAACAGCACTACTGTAGATACACTCTTCTGGTTTAATATCTGAATACAATGCGTTCCCACTAAATCTGCATCAAACATGCACGCACACACAAACACACACACAGAGAGACCACAGCGATGACAGTGAGTTAGATGGGAGTGTCAGGAACGACCACAACCACTGCAGAGAAATCACTGATGCACATCCCCCAGACCCGCAAGGCTCCCTCCAAGGCCCTGCTAGGGGTTGGTGCGTGCTGCATGGCAATATAACTTACCGACTTCTGCTTCTGCTTAGCTACGGCCCAGATGGAAGAGGAGAGAGAGAGAGAGAGGGTTAAGAAACAGGCAACATGCATGCTAATGGCTCGAACGCCCAGCGGAGGGAGGGAAGAGACACGGACTGTGGTAGGACATGGAGGACAAACAGAACGGGCGAGCGGACAGACGGTGGACAGGGTGATGCTGAGCAGCCACAGTCAGGCAGTTGTCGTGGGTAGCTGTGTGGACAGACGGACTGACAGAGAGAGGAGATAGAGAGAAAATACCGGCGTAGATGCCACATTTACCTTCTTAAAGAAGGGCATTCGTTTCTCTTTGGCTAGGGTGGGTGACATGACAGTGTTTGGCTGACTGGCTTTAGGGGAGCGGAGGTGGACTGGAAGCTCATTTTCCTCGGGGTCTAAGCCTGTGGCATCTATGTCAACGGCTATGCACACAGACATACAAGGCCACCATCACACAGAGGCAAACACAGGAGGCTACAAGGGTAACATTGAACACCTAACACTGGACAGATACACAGGTTATTCCACCACATATACAAACTATACAAACCATATACAAGCTATAGTCAACTATAGTCAAACTATGGTGAGCAATGACAGTAAACAATAACAAACATTTAAGGCCACAGTAGCTAAGACATAAATACCATTCTAACACTTTCACTAAAGGGCTACATCCTGTAGATTTAGCAACCGATTGTACAATACGCCTGAAGTGTACAAAAGATAGGCCAGCAGTAAGGTCAAAATAATGACCTTACTAATAAAACGTACCATCGTCTCCTATTTTTATGACACTTCATTTTCAAGCCCTCTTAGAGGTTGATGGAAGTTTGATAATACTCAAGTATTAGAGTGAAGAGTTTGTGTTAGTGAAAAACATGGCAACCTTTCTCAAAACGCCTTCTGCAAGGCCCTCGTTTACTCACCAGAGGAAGGGGGGGTGGATTTCCGCGAGTTAGGAACCACTTCACCTAAACTGGTAGAGGAGTTTGCTCCTGATTTACTGCAAAGATAAATAATTCATATCAGCTTTATCATTCATATCAGTATATCTGAGGTGTTGCTTGATGAAAGTGTCGGACATCTCAAGTGTCGGCTCAATGCCAGAATAATGATTGGGTGAGGTGCATGTTAGTTTCCATGGTGATTGCAGTGAGGTGGTAGCGGGGAATGGTACGTACCTGGAATGGAACTTGCCCTGTTTGGCTCTCTGCTCGTGTTGTATCCGAGTGTTCTCAATCTTCACAGGACTGGGGATGAAACCGATTTCACAGCCTTCCTTCACCAGGCGCCCTATCCACCAGTCATTACTAAATTTCTACAGGGGGACGGACATAAAAGGGTTAATAAATCTGTGTTCTCCTTCTGCTCATCATCATTGTCATCAACATCATCTTCCTTATCATCATCATCATCATCATTCTTCCCATTCTCCTCCACTTCATCATCATCATCATCCTCATCACCATTTGATAGTACTGTGACCCCTGACCTCTTTGACATGGAGGAAGTCTTTCGCCTCAAAGGAGATGGCCATGCCCGGCACAGGGACGTCATCATCGTTGGTGGCGCAGTAGTTGACATTTGTGCGGACAGCAAACGCAACTGGTTTAGTCTGCCAAAGAAAGAAAACTAAGAGATGTAAAGTTTTGGTTACACAAGAAAATATATGATATAATGTCAAGTTTCTCTGTAGTCTGAAACATTTGTCTGGGGTAGTAAAAGCTGAGCATGAAGAAAAGAAGGGTGATATGCACATCCTGAACTTGAGAATACCAGTGCTAAATAAAACATTATACTGAGATAGGAAATGAGAGGCCCACACATAGAATAGGCTGCTCCCAAGCGCATTATTCCTACACCCAAATACACGTTTTGACTTCACAGAAGTCTTCGTCAGGAGACAAAGCTGAGCTCCATGGATTTGGGAGACAGCAGCATTCGTTCCCTGAATTTAATTCTGCATGATGTTTTTATTAGCATCTCCAGCTGAGAAGAGAGTAGCGCTATTTGCGGGGCTTTTTTCTCCCCCATTGTGTGAGGTGTAAAAATAACTGCAGGCAAAAATAACTGCACCATCATCTGGCAGCACCTGGCATCACCATCATCTGGCATCACCATTATCAACATCATCTAACTCAGTTTAGGAGCCTGAGATCGCTGATATACTGAGGGAGTCCTGCTCTAGGCTCTGACAATGTCGTCCTGTCCTTTGTTTTGTGTTGAGTAACCTAAGTACGCCTAGAAGACTAGGTCTACTGAGTAGCCTAGGACTACTATGTTTATGTTTGTACATTTTGAACCATTTAATTAAGAGGACCACAATGGAAATAAACTCAGCAAAAAAAGAAACGTCCCTTTTTCAGGACCCTGTCTTTCAAAGATCTTTCGTAAAAATCCAAATAACTTCACAGATCTTCACTGTAAACGGTTTAAACACTGTTTCCCATGCTTGTTCAATGAACCATAAACAATTAATGAACATGCACCTGTGGAACGGTCGTTAAGACACTAACAGCTTACAGACGGTAGGCAATTAAGGTCACAGTTATGAAAACTTAGGACACTAAATAGGCCTTTCTACTGACTCTGAAAAACACCAAAAGAAAGATGCCCAGTGGCAGACCACGTGTAACCTGCACAGGATCTGTACATCCGAACATCACATCTGGATGGCAACAACAACTGAGAGAGGCTGGACTGAGGGCTTGTAGGCCTGTTGTAAGGCAGGTCCTCACCAGACATCACCGGCAACAACGTCGCCTATGGGCATAAACCCACCATCGCTGGACCAGACAGGACTGGCAAAAAGTGCTCTTCACTGACGAGTCGCCGTTTTGTCTCACCAGGGGTGATGGTTGGATTCACGTTTATCATCGAAGGAATGAGCGTTACACCGAGGCCTGTACTCTGGAGCGGGATCGATTTGAAGGTGGAGGGTCCGTTATGGTCTGGGGCGGTGTGTCACAGCATCATCGGACTGAACTTGTTGTCATTGCAGGCAATCTCAACGCTGTGCGTTACAGGGAAGACATCCTCCTCCCTCATTTGGTACCCTTCCTGTAGGCTCATCCTGACATGACCCTCCAGCATGACAATGCCACCAGCCATACTGCTCGTTCTGTGGGTGATTTCCTGCAAGAAAGGAATGTCAGTGTTCTGCCATGGCCAGCGAAGAGCCCGGATCTCAATCCCATTGAGCACGTCTGGGACCTGTTGGATCGGAGGGTGAGGGCTAGGGCCATTCCCCCCAGAAATGTCCGGGAACTTGCAGGTGCCTTGGTGGAAGAGTGGGGTAACATCTCACAGCAAGCAAATCTGGTGCAGTCCATGAGGAGGAGATGCACTGCAGTACTTAATACAGCTGGTGGCCACACCAGATACTGACTGTTACTTTTGATTTTGACCCCCCCTTTGTTCAGGGACACATTATTCAATTTATGTTAGTCACATGTCTGTGGAATTTGTTCAGTTTATGTCTCAGTTGTTGAATCTTGTTATGTTCACACAAATATTTACACATGTTAAGTTTGCTGAAAATAAACGCAGTTGACAGTGAGAGGACATTTCTTTTTTTGCTGAGTTTACGTTTTAAAACTTTTTTGTGTCATCCTTGATGATTTTAAATGCATTATCCACGTGTGGTTGTATTGTGATTGTAATTGTCAAAGAAATATATCTATCTATCTATCTATCTATCTATCTATCTATCTATCTATCTATCTATCTATCTATCTATCTATCTATCTATCTATCTATCTATCTATATAAAAATAAAAACTACGATTAGTCTTGTAATGATTTGACAGTTTCATAACTAAACTTTGTTTTTGTCTTGTGTTTCCTTCTGACTAACAATGAGCAAACTGCACTTGTGCAAATGGTTGGTAAATATAATCTGTACGATGGCTGGATCACTGTGTCCCACTATAAAATCATGTATGACCTTTTTCCTCTGGAACAGCTATCCACCCAGGCTGTGTCCCAAATGGCACCCTATTCCCTATTTAGTGCACTTCTTTTGATCAGGGCCCATAGGGTCAAAAGTCAAAAGTGGTGCACTACAATATTGGGAATAGGGTGTGGTTTGGGACGCAGCCCCAGTCCATCTGAATAAAACAAACGTGATATAACCGCTTTATGACACAGACAGATGGATTCAATTCAAGAGAATGCAAATTCCACAATCTTTTTTTGACGAGACAGGAGGGAGCAACATGTCGTACAAATCATCCCCCACCCCTACCCCCCACCGTAGTAAGGCATTACATTTTCTGCGAAAAGGGATTTAAACAATAAATACTTAAGAAATAGGTCACTGGCTAGAGAAAAGAGACGGGAGAAAAAACATACACAGACTCCAAATCGTAACCTGATTGTGGCCTTAAGAATATCCTTTTTTAAGACAGAATCGTTTAGAAGGGAATTACATATAATGTTATTGGACATGATAGTAATCTGAGCTGAGTCTGTCTGTGGCAGCGGTAGCAGCAGTTGGTGACATGGACATGGCCTTATACGGATTACATTTCCTCTGCCTGTGAGAGCGTGACAAGCTCCTCAGTCGCTGGTGGCCGATGGAGAACCAAGCCAAACGCACAGTGATACAACCCACAGTAATTTCCCCTGGCCCTTTGCTAAATGTTTACCTGTAGATGAGAGAGAAAGGGAAGGGGAGCTGGAATGGGACATGGCTGGCTTAGTTTACCACTAGCAAAAAATGTATCAAAGATCCATACAGCATAAACCCAATGAAAACCCTTTTTGCACAGAATGCTCATTATTTGGCTAATAATGGGGGCCTCAAGGGAAAAATTGCTGGTGTTTATTGCCCAGGCAAATTTCTGCTCCCAGTGAGAAACCATAGAAATTGCCTTTTAAAGCACTAAGCCTATACAGTATACAAACCCATAGATGTTGCAACAACTGTTAGGTAAGAATCGTCCTCCAAGAAAAGGGGGCATCAAGAATACTTAGAGGAGGGAGTGTAATTTGTCCCAGTCACCTTCAGCCTTCACCTAGCCAATGGGATTGTCTACCATTAATGAGCCCCATTAGAATGATTGGCCAGTAGAGTGGACCTACAGGAGACCATGCAGACCTATGGATGTCCCAAATGGCACCCTATTCCCTAGTGCATTACTTTTGACCAGAACCCTCTGGGCCCTGGTCAAAAGTAGTGCACTATATATGGAATAGGGTGACATTTGGGACGCAGGCCATGTAATGTACCATTCCCAGACGAAGAGCAAACTGGATGCCATTTATTCTCATTCATTCCTGAAGTCCTTCAATGTCAGATAATGCTTTCTAAAAATATGAAACAGGTGCAAAGCGACAATGTTAAACCTCTAAAGAAACAAGAAAAATACACATAATTATAATCCTCTCTGAATAGCTTAGCAGGAGAGTACAGCACATCCCAGGAAAGGAATGAAATGGCCGTGTGTGTGTGTGTTGGTCAACGTCATTAGAGTAAATGTACTGCGCCTGAGTGTGTACAGTACTAGGACATGACACATAGAGGACATTGTGTCCTTGGTTGAGTGTGTGTTTAAAGCCACATGGCTGCTGTGTTAAGGTGTTCTGTTCTGTCAGAGACTGTGTCCCAAATGGCACCCTATTCCCTATATAGTGCACAAATTTTGACCAGAGCCCTATGGGTCCTGGTGAGAAGTAGTGTCCTATAAAATAAATGGAGTACCATTTAGAACAAAGGCAGGTAGTATGTGCCTGTGTGGTCTGGGGGACTGGGACTACCTTTCTCATGCTCCACTGCTTCTCTCTCTCCAGTCTCTCAGTGATCAATGACATGGTCTGTGACGTCAGTAGCCCATGGTGGAGGGCGTAATGCTATTTCACAGTGTTTAATGCTATTTCATACCTGTGTGCATCTGTGTACACACTCTCCTGACCTCAGATGCCACTGTGGATTATCACAAGTGACAGGCGCTGTGCACTGTGGCACCGGGTTGTTCTCCTCTCCTGTCCATCCCCCTCTTCCTCTCTTCATCTCTCCTCTCCTGTCCATCCCCCTCTTCCTCTCTTCATCTCTCCTCTCCATCCCCCTCTTTCCTCTCTCCTCTCTTCATCGCTCCTGTCCATCCCCCGGCTTCCTCTCTTTCAATCGCTCCTCTCTGTCCATCCCTCACTTCCTCTCTTCATCTCTCCTCTCCTCTCCATCCCCCTCTTCCTCTCTTCATCTCCATCCCCCTCTTCCTCTCTTCATCTCTCCTGTCCATCCCCCTCTTCCTCTCTTCATCTCTCCTCTCCTGTCCATCCCCCGTTCCTCTCTTCATCTCTCCTCTCCATCCCCCTCTTCCTCTCTTCATCTCTCCTGTCCATCCCCTGTTCCTCTCGTCATCTCTTCATCTCTCCTCTCATCCCCCTCTTCCTCTTTTCATCTCTTCATCTCTCCTCTCCTGTCCATCCCCCTGTTCCTCTCTTCATCTCTCCTCTTCTGTCCATCCCACTGTTCATCTCCTCATCTTTACGTAGCACAGGCAGGCCTTCATTAGGCATGCAGTATTGACTGCAGCAAGAAAATAAGTATAATTATAATTAATAATTTATTCAACTTTTATAGCGTTATTCATTACATAAAGAATCGCTTTTTAAAATGTAAAACAACAACATCATTCTTGATAGGGTCAGGAAATGTGTAGCTTGAGTGGTCATCGGAGGAAGGTGGTCATGACATAAGGGGGAGAGAAAGCAAAGCTGGTCTCTGAAGCAAGTCCGGGGGCAGGCAGCACGGTGTCATCAAGGTGTCTCGCCGTCGCTGCCGTCTGTTTGGCTTCTCCATAATAGGACTCGGATGAAGTTTGAGCTTAGCCACTGCAGTTCATGAACTCCGTAGTAGGTGTAGCTAGCTAGCCACTCCTTCACTACTACCAAAATGAAGTACCCACTTGGGTGAAGCTACGGCAGTCACATGGCGCCAGAAAGCACACCACATTTCTATAATAATTCAAGAGTAGTCCTCCCTATGATCGTCATCACTGCATACCTCTGCTGTGCCGTCTTGCTTTCGTGCTTCTCCATCCTCAACCTCCGGACACTGGCTGGCATTCGATTATTAATGAGCTACATTCATTGTTTTGTCTTAAAACAAAACGTTTTGTATGGGCAAAATGAATTTTTCAAAATAAATATTTACATAATGTACTGAAGCTATCTGCCTATGGGATCTCACAGTGCCATGGTAACCGTGGAACCGAAAATGGGTGGGGTGAGGGATAGAGAGCGAAGGGAGGGGAAGAGAGAGAGAATTGAGAGAGAGTGAGGGGAGAAGGTGAGAATGAGAGAGGGGGATAGAGAGAGAAGAGAGGGATAGAATAGGATAGAGGGAGGAAAAGCCGGTAAGAGAGTGAGGGGTTGGAGAAGAGAGAGTGGGAGAGAGAGAATATAGAAAGGACCAACAGAAGAGAAAGAGAGAGTGAGGGGTGAGCTAGAGAAAGAAATGTGGTTGATTGCCAAATAACACCACAGAGTCCTCTCCCCCCCTCTCTATCTCTCTCTTTTTCTCTCTCTCTCTTAATATCACTCCATTTTATATATATTTCAATAACTAATATCCGGAAGCCTTCTCTATACCGGTACTGACAGCATTATTAGATGCCTGCCCTGCGTGTTGCTCTGCCTGCCTTGTAACTTGTAATCTGGCATCATCCTTGCATTAGCAGGCCACAGAGGATCTAGCACCATAAATCAAGATTCTCGTATCATCTCACCTTGAGCATGTTTCAGATTGTTCTGAATTCGATTGTAAAGCCTTATTGCGTGCAGAGCGGGTATAGTGTGCTAGCTCTGAAGTGCGAGCCCATAAAATGTGGTTTTATGCGCCGTGGTAAGGTCCCCTTAACCTTCATCAATCCAGCGCAGGGATTTTTTGTTCTATAAATGAGAAGAGCCATATGGCCATTTCAGCACTGCCCATGCATAATGAAATAGATAATGAGGACAGTTCTCTAAAGTCCAGACATTTGAATATTTTACATTCATATCGAACATAATTGGGTGACAGTGATTGATTGTTGGGGCTATTTTTACAGAGGAAACGAGAGGTCTGTCTTGGTTTGAATCTGGGGTTGTGTCTGAAATGGAATCCTATTCCACTACTTTTAACCAGAGCCCTCTCTTCCTCTCTCCCCCTCTCCCTATATATACTGTATATCTCTCTCCCCCTCTGTCACTCTATCTCTCTGTGTTTTTCTCTGTTTTGCTAACTCCAGTGTATCTCTGACTCCTTGGTATTGCTCTGAGGTGATAGAGGAAAGGAGGGCAGACAGTGCTAGTTTGTTGTCAGATGTGAGTGTGATTTGGGCTAGGAGACACTGCCATAGGAGGAGAAGCCTGTAGAGTTGATTAAAGCTGTGCGGTCAGACAGAGGGGCTCAAGGGCCCGTGAGGGGCTACTGATGTGAGAGACCAGTGGCCTCAGGGGGACACATCTCCATTTAACTCTGGCAAGCACACACCAGGGTTTCCGTTAGCTGGTAATTGCCGGCTTTTGGCCCCCTACATTTTTTAAAAGCCGATAAATAAAATTGGCAACGGCCAATTGTCCAGGAGAATAAAATAATTCCATTGCAAAATAATGTTTTTTTTGCCTATTCATTGATGTAAATACCATTTGATGTAAATACATTTGACCGGTCATGTTTAGCGGTCTATAGGTATATTTGCATAATTTAGTGGAATTCAATTGGCCCGTGTGTATTTTAGTTAGTCGTTATGATTCTTATTTATCACAAGTGCACAGCATACAGATATTCAGCCTATTTTGAGCAGAAAATCTGTCAGACAGTGCGAGAGCTGCTGCTACAGCTCCTGTTGCTGCTGGAGTGAAACGTGCTATTATAAGCCCAATCATTGTGCAACAATTCTAAATGCAGTCACGTGTTAAAAACAGTTTTGATAGCCACGATTAAAAAGAGCTACTATTTTTATTTCTCAACAAGTAATTGAAGTGCGCTTCCCATTCGCCATTTAAGTGCTTAGGCAACGGTAGGCAGGCTTCAGCACATCACACCACTTTTAAATGTGAGCTGGAAGCAGTATGCATTTTTTAAACATTTACTTAATTGTGTGAAACATTAACGTTTTACTTCATATTATGAGGCATGTCTTACCTAGCTTCAAAGTAGCCGAGCCAAAATTTGTTTCAATAAACGTGGAGGTAATTATTTTATAAAGACTTTATATAGCCAATTTCTCTCATGTTCTATTGGTTTTCAAATCAACTTTATTTTATTGTCCAATAGCCAAAGGCACAATCCTAGTCATATGCGCAACCCATGCTAGTTGTTGCATCTTTAGATCTCCCATCTTTCTATATTTCTAACGTAAATTTGATCTCTGTCACATGAAACCGCTCGCATGTGCAGTGCTTTTGACAACTGTGTTTTCCGCTAATTACATTATGGAACGAACATTCGCGTGTAGCCTACTACGGGGCAAAACAGACGGAGTTGGCTTAGATGTTGACAAACTATATTTCATCTCCAAATGTTTATTGAAAACATACACTACCAGTCAAAGGTTTGGACACACATACTCATTCAAGGGTTTTTCTTTATTTGTACTTTTTTTTTTCATTGTAGAATAATAGTGAAGACATCAAAATTATAAAATTGGCCTATGCCCACCCATGGCTGCGCCCCTGCCCAGTCATGTGAAGTCCATAGATTAGAGCCTAATGAATTTATTTCAGTGGACTGATTTCCTTATATGAACTGTAATTCAGTAAAATCTTTGAAATTGTTGCATGTTGCGTTTACATTTTTGTTCAGTATAAATACATTTGCACAATGAGCACTTGTTGTCTCTCAAATACATTGTTGCAGTTGTTGGTTAGCTAGCTAGCGAATTTTAGCCATATTAGCATTGACATGAAATCAACAAGACATGGTATCATCAACAAGGTAAAACTTTATGAAACGAGCCACCTACGATTCCCCACATGGCAGCTTCTTGTCAATGTTGCTAGCTATCTGAACATTCAGAATCATAACAATGCACAGCTTCCAGCCCAATCGATGCGCGCCCATCATTTTCGTGACGTTGTCAGCCAACCCGTCTGTGTAGTGCACTACTTTTGACCAGGGCCCATAGGGTACCCCTACACTCTTAGAAAAAAAGTGCTATCTAGAATCTAAAAGGGTTTTTCGGCTGTCCCCTTAAGAAAACCCTTTGAAGAACCCTTTTGGTTCCAGGTAGAACAATTTCCACAGAGGGTTCGACATGGAACCCAAAAGGGTTCTACCTGGAACCAAAAAGGGTTCTCCTATGGGGACAGCCGAAGGACCCTTTTTTCTAAGAGTGTAGGGCTCTGGTCAAAAAGACGTATACTATATAGGGAATAGGGTGCCATTTGTGACGTAGCCCTGGTCGGTCTGCCTGTAAAGAGGCAATCAGGCCAGCATATAGCCGGATGTTTCACAGAGAGAGCCCCTTCTTGCTCACTAATTAAAAAGATAAGTCGCTAGCAGATAACCTGGCATGGATTACCCCAGCCACTTTACATGATAGACGAGCTGTAAAAATAGATGCTCAGTGATCTGGCCTCACGCCAAAGAGAGAGAAAGAGTAGAGAGAAAGAGAGGAGAGAGAGAGAGAGAGGGCTCGGGTCAGGGGAAGTGCAATCTCAGTGACTGTAATGGTTTATAAGGCGGTCATTCACAAGCACCTGCCTAGTGCACCGTTAATGTGTTATATACAGTAAACACTTACTGTACAGAGGAAATAGAGCCTATGTGCCCTATTGGGGTCTGGTCATGTGCACTTAAGGGAATAGGTTGCCATTTGGAACGCAGGCAAGCCATAATAAAATAAAATAATATAGCCATAAGACTGCTAAATAGTTAATTAAATGGTTACCCGGACTGTCTGCATGACCCCATCTTGCACTGACTCTATGCACACTCACAAGACTATATATAGACTGTATACACACTCACTCACACACACGACACTGACACTCTCACACAAATCCCACACACATTCACATACACTACATACAGTGCCTTCAGAAAGTATTCACACAGTATTTTCCACAAATTGG